AAACGAAGTGTGTTTTTTTTGTATTTTCATGTTAGCCTTGCATTCAAGTCAATTTTAAGAATGGTCCATTGCAAACAATCCATTGCTTTAATGCAGATTTTATCCGAGACTGAAGGTAAGTTGGTGACACTCAAATAGGTTCCTTTTTGAGCAAGTGCATGTATACACATAAACCAGGCAATAATGTGTTAATCTGGATGCCATTTGAGAGTCATGGTGAATAAAGCTAGTGCAGACAGAAAGGAATTTTTGGCACACGTCATTTTACCTACCTGAGTGTAAAACTTTTCTTTGTATTTGGCTTCAATGACTGGATCAACTTTTTCTGTTTCTTCTCCACTTGCTGGAGTCTGAATGACAAATCAATATTAAAAATAACAAATCTGGCAACACATGCAAAGCAAAGCCTATAGATATTTTGGAGTGTAAAAAGGGGAAGTAACTAAAAGTAAAAAAGTCTTACCACTGGCCTGTCTGCAGACTCACTCAGGGTTGGTTTAGAGGACTGTGATGTAGGAGTTGTTGTAGTAACAGCACCTGTGTTTGTGACCAGGAAAAAACTACTTTTAACTTCAAAATAACAAGAACTGTATTTAAAAAGATAGTACACCAGATTCATAAGAAAAAGCTGTGCTCTGCACACCAGCCAATCATTAACCAGGATTCTTGGCTGTCTATTTTATACGAATCATGTGACCTCAACAGTAGCCAATCATAAGTGGGACTTTTGCCTCTGTAATTTATACAAATCACATGACTTCTACAGCCAATGAAATATCAGGATTTCTACTTACTTCTTCCACCCTTTTTAGCAGAAAGTTTGGATCTTGTAGAAGTTGGTCGCTCCTATTAAAGATAAAAGCCATTTTCTCTAAAAATTAAACAGCTACGTGCGTCATGCCATCGTTTACTTTAGGATCATGTGTCAGGTTTATATCGTTTCACCCCTCAACATCACAACTCACATGTTGCCATATCACACAATAATAATAATAATAATAATAATAGGCTTTATTTCATGAGGATAAACACATAACAGTAGTTGAAAAAAAATCCGATGACTCTGTGGCCTTCAACAATGCATCACCAAAGTAGCAACACCTTGTTTGTGGTTACATCATCAGTGACGTCACATCCTGTTTACTCACATGATCAGCCTTGCCTCCTTTCTTGTCTTTTCTGTCTGATTTCTTGCTGTCTGGCTTCAGATGGTCAGTGACTTTACGACCTCTCTTGTCCACTATGAGCAAGAAAAATAAATATTAATACATCTTATCACTCAAGGGAATGACACGTGGTCTGAAATGGGAAAACATTACACCATAGCTGAAAAGCATTACTAGTAAAGAAAGAAATAATACTCAAGGGAATGACACGTGGTCTGAAATGGGAAAACATTGCACCATAGCTGAAAAGCATTCCTAGTAAAGAAAGAAATAATACTCAAGGGAATGACACATGGTCTGAAATGGGAAAACATTGCACCATAGCTGAAAAGCATTCCTAGTAAAGAAAGAAATAATACTCAAGGGAATGACACATGCCCAGCTACCTGTAAGGGATTAGTTCAAGTTCATTCTTACCCTCATCTTGTGATGTATCTTCTAACATCTCTTTCTCAGGTAATCCTAACACTGATCTTATCATGACCGACTGTCCAACCATATTATCAACCATCTCACACAATAACTGATACCTACAACAAAACATTGCATCATTAGAACTTCAATAAACTCCATAACACTCAAGTGGTCACATCCAAAGCTTAGAAGTGACAGCGCGTGAGATCAATGTTTAAACGAGAGTATCTCTATTTGACGGAGTCGGGTTCCCTGTGGTTTAATATCAAGTCAACTTACGTTGCGCTGTACATGGCTTGCTTGATTGGCGTCATTGGAGGAAAAGATAGAGTTACGATGGAGAGATTGAGCTTCTGTAACAGCCCATCTCGTTGTTCCTCATCCTCTACAGCCATTATGCGCTGTTGAATGACAAAATATCAATCAAAAATATTCATTTGACTTTGTTAGCTTTTACTTCTGGTTTTTCAGCATCTGCCTATGCTACATCCGATTTTGATACTATGGGTTTCCCACTTCCGGTTTCCCACTTCCGGTTTCCCACTTCCTGTTTTTATAAATGCGTATATTAATGAAAATTTATTTTGATGACAAAGTAAGAGCCAACTTAAGTCCCTACCTGTTGAAGCCCCTTGAGAGAAAGGTCCCACTCTGTCTCAGGCTCCAGTTCAGAGTAAAGTGTCTTCAGCTCACGAACAACCTCATCATGAAAATGCATCTAGAAACAAGAGAAAAAGGATTTGCATGTTGAGGATTTGTAGCATAGTTGCCATGGTAATGAGATTTCTAGGTTGCTAAGGTAGCGACTTACCCCTTCGTTCATTCTTGAAAATACTTCTTCCTCCTGCCAAAAATAGCAATTAATTAATTAATCATTTATTCATTTACTAATACATTTATTCAATCCTTTTCTTACTGGTAAAGTTTGTTCAGAAGGTAGTATGAATGTAACTCGAGCAAAACATCCTACACTAATAAGATTTTAAAATGGACAATACTAATAGAGTGTTTTCACATGACATCACAGCCGCCATATTGGTGAACCTTTGACAATAACTTTGTCATTATTTTCTTTTGTTATTTACACCAATATGGCCACCATCTCTGTTGTCAGACATGACGTCACAGCCGCCATATTGGTGAACCTTTGACAATAACTTTGTCATTATTTTCTTTTGTTATTTACACCAATATGGCCATCATCTCTGTTGTCAGACATGACGTCACAGCCACCATATTGGTGAACCTTTGACAATAACTTTGTCATTAGTTTCTTTTGTTAGGAACACCAATATGGCTGCCATCTCTATTGTCAGACATGACGTCACAGCCATCATATTGGTGCACCTTTGACAATAACTTTGTCATTAGTTTCTTTTGTTAGGTACACTAATATGGCTGCCATCTCTATTTTCAGCTAACCCTCTAGGGACTGGGTGAAAACATCCTATATGAGTGTTACTATTCATACCGTGATGTAGGCATCAATAGGGGAGTGTGCTCTCTCAGGCGTTCTAATCCCATCCAGTATCTCTTGTAAAATTCTTGATGCTGCTTCAACTGCTTCTCTGTGCRCAAGGTCTTCTTCAATTTCTTTACGAGTCTCTGCATAAATATCATCCTTAACAGCAATTCCTGTTATCAGAACCAGCCAAACAGGTTATGGAGAGATTAGAGTACATATACTAAAGCAAGAGTAACTTGAATATTCTATAATGTCTTGCACATCTATGATATGTTGCGACTGAATAGCCATGAGATGTAGCTGTGTGCATGTTCCATTTAGTAAGCTTTCGCTGGTTTAAACCATTAGAATGTCCCATGATGAACTGTACGCACGAAATGTGCAACCATTATGAGACTGAGCATCCTTGTCGCTATGGAGCTGTGCCCACCTCTCATTACCAAGCTTTCATTTCTAAGTCATTTCAATATCCCACAATGCACTCTACACCAGATAATGACATCCCATGATAAACTACAGGCCTAACCCCATGGGCTACGCACCTCTAAGATCAATCCTAATAGCTGCCCCTCCACACAAGACAGGCTGGGTTAATAGCTCCCAGCTCTCAGAGAAGATCCCAGGATTTGAGGACTTGAAAATGAAGGGAAACTTCATGGTGTCTCCAGGAAGAATCACTCCACTGTTGGTATCAAAATAGAAGCGTTGTATTCGGCCTGCAAGACGTGTGCCGAGGGTGTTGACTTTAGGAATCATCTGAAATCGTACATGGATAAATCAATGTTACAACCAATATGATAGTCCAGTCTACTGTATGTCAAGGCATGAATAACTCACAGATTGAACCCTGAAACAACCTCTGGGCTGATC